AGAATATGTCAGTAGTCTTCGTAGGGTTGGTTGTGGTCATGAGTTTCATCAGTTGTCTTTTGTCATGGTAGTAGCTTATCTCTCCATTAATTTTGTTTCGTTTATGCGTTTGGTACAGGGTCTCACTACATAGCCTGGACTCGTGGTGATTTTCCTGTTTTCGGCCTCCTCAGCACTGGGATTACAGGCACCCACCACCATGTCCAGACTCTGTCCCCAGCTCAGCACACCCCGAGGGTGGGGCCGGCACAGTATGCAGTACTGGGGATCGAACCCTGGTCCCTGTGTTTGCCAAAGCAGGTGCTTAGTCTGCTGAGTGATCTTGCCAGCCCTCTCCATTTATTTTGAGAGTTGCAGTATACATCAAACTGGGTCGAAAGTTATTTTATTTCTGGACTTGAAATACTTCAAGCACCGATCAGGATGTCAAGTGGATCCCATAAAGAAGTGAGAGGAGACTCCCTTGCCAGTTAATTCTTCCTACCTTGACAAAAGTGCAGCAAAACCACTCGTTCCTGTCGGGTGGAATGAGTTACAGGAGAGAATCTAAGAACTCATTTTAGAGGACAAATCCCTTTCACACACAGTTCTTCTCTCTGACAAGAGGCAGAGCGAGTATCCAAGACCACCAATATCCCATGTTTACCTATGATGGTAACTGTGCCTAAGTGTATCAGGTAGTGTTGGGTAGGTGGGTAACAGGGGTCAATTTTGCTTGGGGTGTGTGTGTGTGTGTGTGTGTGTGTGTGTAACAGTATAGTATGTATACTTCATAGCATATTGCCCAACCCTGCAGACTTGAGGGGAGGGTTGTAATCAGAAATTGAAGGAACAGTTTCCATAAAAACTCTGCCATCACTGGCACACAAACAGCCTACTCTCCACAGGATAAAAACGCAGCTCAGAGTTACAAGAGGAACCTCTCCCGCCCCCTTCAGCATGGGGCTCAGCTCTGGAGCAGCAAGGCCTCCCTGGGCACAGATGGGTGGCAGTGATCCCAGTGGAAGAGTTGGACACAGACAATGCTAACAAACGTACAGGTCCCTTAAAGACAGGAATGACAGCAGTACCAGGTGTAACTCTTAGGAATAAATCAGCTGTGTGAGCAGGGTCCATCTCTCAAACTTGTACATTAGTTTTCTATTTCTGACCTCACAGGTTCTGTACATCAAAAGATGGGGCATCAGTGGGGCCCAGTTCAGCATCTCAGCAGTAGTAAGGGCAACCCTTGGGGCACAACCTGGGAAAAGACCCACTTTTGTACAAGAGCAGAACTTGCCTTTCAGCTGTAGGAGCTTCTGTTTCTTGCTGGTTATCCCCAGGAGACAGCCCTCAGCTCCTCGATGCTGCTCTTGGTGTCCTCTTGCTACAGCAAAGCTGAGTCCCAGAAAATAAATAAATGACACCCGAGAAAGTCAAGAGGCAACGAACAGCTTTATTTTACACCGGTGGTCCTGGCTGGATTAACTTCCACCAAAAGCCAGGCAGCAAGTGTCTGTGGGCCAGTATTTTTGTATGAAGCACAAGCAGGGGTTACAAAGAAGGGAAAGACAGCTGGCAGGGTGAGATCTTCAGGTACAGGGCTACAGCGATGACCATCAGTTACAGTCAGGCATCCTGCATGTTCAGTTACATTCTTGTGATTACAGGGGTCAGAAAAGCAATTACAGAGCCGTAAAGCAATTACAGAGCTGGGCAGCCTCAAAAAGAACAAAGTTTTTAAAAGAACAAATTTTCTTGCAGTTTTCCCTTTCATTCTGACCTAGGTGTCCCAACAAGGCACCCACATCCTGGCGCCCACATCTTCAAAGTCAGAAGACAGGCAGTGGAGACTGGGCGTGGT